TGTTGTCCCCATGGATCGCCTGGCCATAACGCGGCAATACTCTCTATCTTATTAGATAAGTGTGAATATTTTTAAAGAGTTTGCTCAAAATAATGTCACTGAGTAGATTGAACGAAAATTCACTTAGATTTGGAAGAAAATGAAGCATTAATTTACCATCAGTCTCAAATCATTTGAGCAGCGGCAACCTTGTGGTTCTGCAACTTCACGCTTATATGGTTTGCCGGAAGTACACAAAGAAGATTTTCCCCTGTATCCAATTTTGGACATGAACAATTCACAATACCATGCTATTACCAAGTGTCTATTAGACGCCCTTCAAGTAGTCAGAAAACAGCTAAATGCACATAGTGTTTGGATTCATTCAGTTAATAATAATGTCTGATATGTGAATGGTTTCTCTGGATATGGTTTCTCTCTTCACTAATGTCCCACTCACTGAAACTATCTATTTTCTATGTGATTTCATTGAAGATAATGCTATTTAATATGGGTATCCTGAAGCGCTTATTTACAGGAATTACTTCTAAGATGTACTTTCAACGTGTAATTCGAAATTAACAATCAGCCATACAGACAAAAAGATGGGGTCACCATTTGGACAGCTGCTGACTGATTGCTTTATGGTAAACCTACAGAATAGTGTTCTCTATTCAACATTCAATAGTTTTTACCAACATAAAAGACATACAGGTGATACATCCATCACATATAATTAAAATACAGATATTGGAACTATAACTAGAAGAAAGTTCAATGGTCACCACCCTAAAACGAAATTCACATCAGAATTTGAGAACTGAGAATTTCACTTTCTTGATGTCTTATTGAAACGGAGACCAGATGACTGATTCTCTTCAGAGATCGATTTCTAAAAAACCAATGTGAAAGTGACAATAGCTGAATTTCAACAGATGAGTATCTGTCAGTAGAGAAAGGAATCTGCTTCATCCAGAATCAGAAAAACCTTTACAAGTGATACTTTCGATAATTAATTGGACAAATTATGGGAAATTCCAATACAAAATGGAAACCCATCCAGATTTATTGAGAATAACTTGAAATTAAGAAAGGAATATAGAGCTAGTACTCCAGTACTAGTACTCCAAAGATCTTGTTTATGAACGTTGGTCTCAACGGTAATGCTGCAGCGAACCTCCTAAAGAACCAGGTGGCCAAATCGCTGGAGAAGATATTCTTTTCTGCGAAGTTACAGACCGGCTTCTCTAGTCAGTAACTGCTTCCGCAGTATGGAAACGGCAAGTTACCGTCTATTATTATTACTATTATTAGTCCCTTGGGTTCTTAGTGGAAAATAGGGCTTCAGCAAAACGCCTCCATTCCACTCGCTTCTCTGAAATCTTTTCAACCTGAATCCACGACAGCGCACAAGCTCTCATTTCTTCCTCACATCATCTCATGAACGTCACCCTCGCTTCGGACGCCCAACTCGTCGTTCCCCATCTGGGTTCCACTCAAGGGCCCGGCCCGGCACGTGATGTCCCCAATCGGCCTTCTAAGTGTATGTCCAATCCATCTCCACTTCCTTCTTCTGCATAATTGTTGAGCGATAGGCCCTTGCTTCGTTGGTTCGTCGCCAGCCAGCCTGCCAGAGTTCCTTGTTGCTTATTCTTATCATTCTCGCCATCTGATCTTCAGTATCGAGTGGGCGTAGGCGGCAGCTGTTGATGAATGTCTGTAGTTTGTTGGAAATGCCTTTCGTAACGCGCCAAGTCTGTGAGCCATACAGAAGCACTGACTTGACGTTGGCGTTGATAATCCGGATCTCGTTCTTTATGCTGAGTGCAGAAGATCTCCACACTGATTGGTTTCAGGTTAATGAACGCCTGTCTTACTGTCTTTCCGATCTTGGCTGGCTTTGACTTCTTTGTCTGTGTCACCACCGGCCAATTGGCTTCCCGAAGGCTTTCACCAACCAGCATCATTTTTCTCCCCGATTCCAGTGAGGAATAAATTTGTTTTTATTTTTTGTTTGTGCTTTGAAGTTTCTTTAGTGGTTGGGTTGGTTTTACGTGGTAGGGTTGCTAGCCCTACACCCAACCTCCTCTTTACCTAGGCTAGTAACTAGTGGACTAGTTAACCAGGCCCTATCATTTAATAACAGAATATTATTACCTACTGTTATCATGTTCCTTGTAAATTAATGAATAACACTGGTTTTCAGATTTATCCATATATATTTTGCAACATTTTACCTGACTGATAAAACCGTGTATAGATTTTTTTAACACTACCTACTGTCGTAGTTTGAGACATATGGAGAATTTAATTTTAGGGTTGTATTCATTTTATTTTCACTTTCAACAATACCATCAACATATAAAAGCATAAAGTCATAAGTTAAATAGCTTATTCTGACTGGTCAGCCTTGGGATAAAATTATCCAATAGGGATTTTCCCGACCACACAGCAACATGAAATACAAAAACTTCTACCTTAATGACTGATGACTTAAAATATTGATTTACATTTAGATCGTTTTCTATCATTGTCAAACACCAACGCCGTTTCCAAGAGGATATTGTTCTTGAATTTAGTATTCAAGAGGGATACTGCCGACGATATTCTGGTAAACTATGTGAAAAGATCAATTCGGAAGGTGTTTCGTGCAACAAATCTCAGAATAACATATCAATGTCTCCATCTAATATGCCGCATCGTGAAGGATATGTTGTCAAGTATAGTCAATTCAATGTGCGTTTACCACTTCATCTGCTAATGTGAAGCTAGGCATTTATGTCGTTCATCTAGGCTTATTCTTCACAGCATTCAAGGACTTCTCCCGGTATAACTTAGTAAAAGGCCAAGAATACCCACCAACTCATCTACTTCGTAATATGTGGTCAAAATATCCACTTCGAATATCTGACAATTCATAATTTGAAACCAGATGTGTGCATACAGAAACAGTTGGCTCAGTCTCTTTTTTTACCATGACTCTAGTATGGTTAACTAATAAGACATATGAATATCGGTCACTCTCAAGTCAACTTGTCCCCAGTTTCGTTTGCATTTCAAGCCTACTTTGTTTCTCATTATTACTGAAGGAAAAAAAAGACAGACATGACGGAAAGAGTGTTAATGAACAGAAATTGGAACCGTAGTCGTTACATATGAGGTACACCTTGCACTAAACCTGTCATTTACAAAATGTGCTTCGTTTCCTCTTGTGTTTCTCTCTTGATTTGCTCTTCATATATTCTTATCAGCAACATCCACTGTAATACGCCTGTGTTATCCCTGGCGTTGTTCTTGGCAGAATCCTTACTCAGTGCTGGTAATTCCCTATGATTCTTGCCACCCTCTCGACATATACTACTTATATCCATTCTTATCAGCAACGCCTACTACAATTACTAGTAGTATATTTTCGTCCGATTTACAATTCTTGATTATCGGTCATATCACACAACCTCAGTTTAAACTTGTCTTACTAGAATATTGTTGCTTAGTGTTATCATGTTCCTCGTGTGTTAATGAATAATATTGATTAGCGAATGTTCTCATATCTACTTTTCAACATTTTACCCTACTGATAAAACCATGTATCGATTTTTAAAGATTACTTACTGTTGTAGTTTGAAGTTAATGGGAAGTTTCATTTTAAGTTAGTGTTCATCACCGGTTGAGTGACATGAGTTCAAAGATAACCATTAGAAAACTGTGAGGAGAGGATAGCTATTTCGTCGTGATTCGGTACTCCGCAGTAGTACACGCTTATGATCTCACGTCCTAGAGGATCGAACTCTGGTTCTACAGGTTTCACAGAGAATGTATTCACCAGTTAGTCAGTGTGTCGGAGTTTCACTGAATATAATCGGAACTGTATAGCTTTAGGAAATAAATCCGTGGTGAAGGATTTCCTTCACTGAACTGCTTCTTCCTACTTCAAATTATTTCATCTAATATTAAATGTTAGGTTACGTGGAACCAATAGGAAGCTCAGTGATGCCTTTGAAGTGAAGACAGGAGTAACACACAGCTGCCACCTACTATCACCAATGATCTTCCTGATTGTAGTGGACTGGATCATGCAACAAACTGTGAGGAGCGAGAAGAGGGGTATACGCTATCTGGACCGGGGAAAAGAACCTAGAAGATTTGGATTTCGCCCATGATGACTTATGTCTAATGTCTTACACGCTTGAAGATATACAGGCAAAAACTGAAAAGTTGACAGAAGAGATGAATCAGAGAAAACGGGACTTCAAGGGATTGTAAAGAAGACAGAGGTGGTGAAGATACCCAACCAGTAACAGCATCAACAACAAGCACCAGACACTATTAAATGGGAGAAACCTAAAGGAAGTAGTCTCTTTTACCTACACCTACCTAGGCAGGGCAGCATCTTTTCGAGTACAGGTGGCACAGACGAGGATGTCAAAACGAGGATCGGAAAGACAGCAATACAAGGATTCCTGCATTAATCTGAAATCGATCACTGTGGAGACCTACTGCAATCAGCACAAAGCGTGAACAACATCCGGATTTTGAACACCAACGTCAAGTCAATGCTGCTATATGCTTAAGAAACTTGTCGTGTCATGAGAAGCATCTCCAACAAACTACAGACAATCATTAATCGCTGCCGCCTACTCTGGCTCACTCGATACTGAAAATCAGATGGACAGAATAATGAGAATAAGCCGCAAGGAACTCTGGGAACGAACCAACCAAGAACCTATCGCTCAACAAATATGCAGGGAAGGAAGTGGAGTTGGATTGGGCATACACTGAGAAGGTCGACTGGGGACATCACGCGCCAGGCCAGGCACTCGAATGGAACCCAGATGGGAAATGACGAGTTGGGCGTCAGAGGGTGATATGGAGGAGATGATGTGAGGAAGAAATGAAAGCTTGTGGGCAGTCGTGGCGTCAGGTTCAAAAGACTACAGAGAACAGAGTGAAATGGGGGCGTGCTACTGAAGCTCTATGTTCCATTAAGAACCCATGGGACAGAATAATAATAACAACAATAATCAGACGTTAATCAAAGTAAGTTGAATTTATTTCCAATTATTATTTTATTTTATCGAAAATATCTAATAGCATTGAAAAGAATATTAAAATCATATTTCAGTAGATGGTAAAAGCATAAAATTATTCCCATTATGATGTTATTACTATGAGTAATCATATTGAAAAATCATAGTTTAATAATCAAACACAATGAAGATTGGGCTGGATGGGCGAAGGAGGCGAAGCGTCGGAGATTCACACTGAACACACCGAAGCATAAAACGTAGCACTCATATTTAAAAAAAACTGTATGATTCGCATAGAGTTCACAAAAACGAAATTATACAATACATATAAGTGCATAAAGTAAGATTATCTAGAAAATATACACGCTTACTAGAACGGAACAGAAAGAAAAACGATGCAATGAATAAGAAGTTCGATGATAACGAAGGAGTTCACTTCCTTCGTTTTTCTTCTTAAACGTGCTTGTATACATTATTTCATTTTCATAAAAAATCATATCCTTGGAGAGAAAACATTGTCAATAGACTGTGTTCAGAAGAAAAAGAAGGAAAGGCAACATCTGTCTCTGTGTAATTCTGGCTGTCGGATATATTGCTCTAGGTTCAATGTGACTTCGAAGCAGAAGGCACGGAGAACTTTTGTTTACCCATTTTATTGATTACGCAGATATGCTAGATGATATCAGGAAGAAGAAGGAAAGAAAGGGTGAAGTGTATATACATATATATAGATATGCTCACTTTCTTTCATCTATCCGGGCATCACAACAATCCAATGGCATAGCAACAATCCAAAGAAGGATATATGTGACAGACCTCAAGCAGGTGTCCCATGAGTTCTACAGTGACACATTATCCTTTTATTTTCACGTACCTCAAAAAGAACTAACCTTCCATGATGTGAACATCTGGGAAATGTAAATTGCCTGCACGCTTCTAGTAGTACACAACACCCAATCAGACATAACCTGTCCTCTTCAACTCTCTCCTCCTTTGACTACACCGCTTGATACATTCAAGACGAAACATTCATTACTTTTCTGCAGTACAAGATAGAAGGAAACTAAAGCATCACCGGCATTGGTTTTCATTCTCAGTCATATCTGATAACGTGTCAAGCTACTGAGTTGCGTGATCTCTTGGACACCAATCAGCGACTCGTGATGCACCAACAGATACTAACCTGATACAACTATCTTTCATCCCACAAGCGCTACATCATAAACGGACCACTTCTTCTATCCAGTCCCAGATTTGGCGAACAATGAACGGTGTGGAAGCCGTTCGGACGACATGCGTAAACCGTGTCCAAACCATCGAAGCCGGTGTTCCCAAATGACAACACTTATTGAATGACATTCTCCATCATGCGCAAACACACGCTATCGTACCTCACAATTACTGGCGTGGTGTTGTCACCGGATACGACCAATCCTATGCAGATAACGATGATTAAACACACAGTCGTCGCACACCCTCAGCTCGGAGAGACTAGGTTTCACAGCTGCAGAGCAGAACCTCTCGCATCGAAGCGTTGTAAACTCAATCATTTACAGTCAGAATAAGGTCGCGATGGCGCCAAAGGTGGTCCAGATTGGCGTGTACCACTCAGGCTTTCGATATGCGGTTGGAAATTCCATCACTCATACCTCCACTAGTACTCTCACAATTATACAGATGCACGAACTTCTCGTTGCATTGCTCCAACACGACCCTCCAACTAATTAATCGAAAGGCATTGGTAATTTGGCACGATCTATTAAATGTACTATCTCCATCTGCCTCATCCATTGTGTGGTTTATTGGTCCCTCAATCATGCGGGTATTCAACAAATACTAAGGTTGACAATTCCTAAAAACCGACAAAAGTAGATGAATGAAGTGTACTTGTAATTGTTGACTGACAAAGTGAAAATATTTGGTTTGTATATATATAACTATGTAGTAAAGTTAAACCTGAGGAGAATTTGATTGAAAGCATTATTGTTTGCTTGTATACCTGATTCTTATCACAAAACTTCATGTGTTATCTAAAGCCCCATAGTAATAGACTATTTGAGTAAAAAAGGCGACTACATCAAAGGCCTAGCGGCTACTTTGATGTAATAGTCGAGTTTGTGCATTACAATAACTCAACGAGCTCATCATCATCAATATCAACACACGACCAGGTATTATAGCGTAGCGATCCCACTTGCCACACCTCATATCACTACATCAAGTAGAAAGGTAGTGAGGTGAAGGATGAAGATAAGAGAATACAGTCAAAAGAAATATAAAGTAAGAGAAGAAAGAAGGGAAGAATGACAAAATGGTGAGATTCGATATAGAATCGTTAAGATGACTATAAAGTGTGTGGGGATACATCTACACCACTGACATCACTTCTCAGCCATATCATCTAGAGTCAGTCTCCAACCACTGGCCCCTCTTGTCCTGCACACCCCCAACCACCTAGTCTGCATCACCCCACAAGGCTGAAACCAGCAGTCAGGCAGTTCATACATTGGTGCCATGTTTTAGTCTGGCCACCTCAGTCAGGCCTTTTTCCAGCCTTCACCTACTTCGGCTGACATTGTGTGACGGTGACTGGGCATACGTAGTACGTGTCCCAACCATCTCAATCGATGAAGGTTCATAACCTCATCAACTGATTTACCTCTTCTCTTCTCCCTAAAACTTTACACCTAACTTCTGCATCACCCACGTGGTGACACCATAGAATACGGCCTATACTACGAGGGCAACGGTGGTCAAATACTTGAAGCCTTCTCATATCTTCCACTTTCAATGGCGATGTTTGACAGCCAGATAGTAGAACAGAGGGGACTGCTGTGCAGTACATGCGACCCTTAATAAACAAACGGATATCACGGCGGCGCCATAGGTGGCGTAAATTGGTAAAAGCCAATGGAGCCTTTTGTATTTGTGCAGAGATTTCATCGGCAACTGACCCACCGGAGCTGATCCTACTTCCCAGGTAAGTGAACTGGTTGACACACTCAACCACTACACTCTCTATTGTAGGCCGTGGCATTACTGAAGACCAGTTTTAGAGCAAAAATTTGCCTAGGGCTACACTAGTTGGAATGCTTGTTCCCTTGAGTTTCTACCACGTGAGAAAGGTTTTTTGGATGGTGATAAGTTGAGAAAAAGTTATTGTTTTAGTCGAAATTGCTACATTATGATAGGGGATTTGAGATTGAAGTTTTACTGATAGCTGGATGAGTGATGACAGTAAGTTTCTTCGACATTGGTGATCACTCCAAATAAGAACAAATTGATATCTAGTTCGGTAGCAATTTGCTAACAACAAGGTGTTATGTACAGCATTTCTAGAACTTTGAGAATACAAGAGGAATAAACTTTTCAAGTAGAAAGACTTTCGGTTTGAAACTTTATCTTAGTTGCTACACAAAACGTGGACTTTAGTGCGTTCTATAGAAGATGGAGGTATGTTTACCACTTGGAACCCTACGAGAGCTGCTCCTTTATTGTACAATGAATGTACAATTCCAGTTTAACAAAGAAATTTACCGTCAGATAGAAAGTGTGACAATGGGTTCCCTACTAGGTCCTCTTCTAACCAACATGTTTATGGTGAAATTGGAAAGTGAACCACTATGCAGTATGACAGATAAACTGTCCTTCAATTATAGATATATGAATGACACTTTCATTCTGTACGGAAATGATACTAATCCTGATATTCTTCTCAATACATTCAATAGTGCTCAAGCAGAAATCAAGTTCATATGTGAAACAGAGAAAGATGAATCCCTGACATTTCTGGATGTTTTACTATCAAAACGGATAGATGTCAGAACCACACACCGTATTTATTGTAAGAAATCATGGGTCAGTCAGTGTACACATTTCCGATCATTTATCCCCCTTATGTCCCCTCTTGTACAGTGATATTTCGAGCCAGTAACATTTGCATAGTTGAATTAAGAATAATACAGAACCTCCTTATACGAGAAAGACTATCCTGTAAAGTTTGTAAAAACTGTAACAATGAAAACAATGCCTTCAATGGTACAGAAGAAACGATTATATCTAACCTTAGCTTTCAAAAGAGATCCAGTCGAAGAAACACTAACATTGAAACTTAGAAATGTGATACAGATAACCTTTTTTGGCGCCGAACTATGTTTTAAATTTACTACTCGCTGTATGTGCTACCAATACAGTTGAAGGATAAGCTTCCGAATCTGGTCCGAATCTGTATGCATTTATAAATTTAACTGCTCCTATGGAGATAGTTACATAGGTGGAACGACTCGGCAAGTCCATCATTGCTTCACTGAACACTGTCCAGCGTGGTTAGGCAAAGGAACATTGAAATCCTCAAAAGTTCAATACTCTCTCATCCAGTAGATACTCACTATAAGATTGACAAAACCTCAGCATTTACTACTATTTACAAAGTCGCATCACAATGCTTTAAGTTTGTGAGTCTTCGATTGCTAAGCATGGCAGAAGCCATAGTAGTTAAGATTTTTAAACCTAATTTATGTTAATGATAGATAATGGCTAGCCATGGAATCCAGGATGCGCGTTTCGTCGAGGCATCCGCATGGGAGCTCATATGCTAATAGAGACCGATCGATTCGGTCCAATCAACGATGGTATCATATAATAAATAAATAAAAAACAATTATACTAATGTATATATTCAGAAGATATTCGTTCATTCCCTTTCCCTCCCATGACCTTCAACTTCAACCCACATACAACTGTAATATTGATACTGAGTAATGGATTGAAGGTGAAATGAGAATTTTGACCACGGAGGGATTCGAACCAGTAACCACAGGATCTCCAGTCCGGTAATCCACCAACTGAGCTACTAAGTTCGACTACTGATCAAATTTTTTTTCACCTTCAATCACTAAGGGTTGTTTTGCCCGACTACCATGTGAATTCGTGACGCATGATCGTATTCCCACTGGCTGTTGCCTAGTCAGGACTTCTCATTCCAATCCGGAGCATTATATTAATTATCATTTGACTAACTGAGATAATAGACTTAGTTTAGCAGACTAGTAGTGATACTAGATGATGGATTGAAGGTGAAATGGAATTTTGGACTGCGGACGGATTCGAACCAGAGAGCACCGAGTCCACTACTCTACCAACTAAGGTACGAGGTCTAACTGTTAACCAGATTTTTATTTCACCTTCAATCATTACTCAGTATCAATAGTAGTCTACCAAACCATGGCAATCTCAGTCTAAATGATAAACAATCACAATAGTTTCCATCCTAGTCACCCGGATAAATGTAAATATCATCTGTGTTTGTAATCTTATCATTATCCTCTTATTTTTCACCCTTAGTTTCATAAATTGATTAAGAATTTTAACATTTTATTATCTAATCGCTATGTGACAATAATTTTATGTCCCTTCTATCCCTTCCCACATACAATCCACTACCAACACACCTATAAAGAATGCCTACTGAGAAAAAAAACTTCCTGAGACTTCGTATTTGCTATTATCTCCTTTACTGTTATCTTCCAACTCATACGATACCCAAATTAATGTAACCGTGTTGATATGGAACTTGGCAGCTGCTTCAACACTACGGTTTTATTGCCATAAATCTTTATCAACCTCATTCAACAACAGCTATATGCTATATGATAGGGTTAAATGGCAAGTGATTCATAACGGAAAGCTCAGCCTTTGAAGTGAAGACAGGAGACAGGAGTAAGACAAGGTTACCGCCTACTATCACCGATTATCTTCCTGATTCTGGTCGACTCGACTGGATCATGCAACATACAACTGTAAGGAGCAAGAAGAGGGGCATACGCTGTTTTATCGTTGAAAAGACCCTAGAATATTTAAATTTCGCCCATGATGATTTACTTCTAATGTCGCACAAGCTCGAAGATCTACGGGCGAAAACTAACAAATTGACAGAAGAGGCAGGGTAGCGAAGAAAGACGGAACTTCCTTCAGGTGAACGTAGAGAAGACAGAGGTGATGAAGATACCCAACCAACAACAGTAACAGCAAACACTAGTCACCATGAACGGGAGAAATCCAAAGGAAGTTGTCTCTTTCACCTACCTAACTACTAGTCAGCATCGTTTCAACTACAGGGAGAACAGGCACAGATGAGGATGTCAAAGCAGCCAGGACACTAAGACAGGCCTTCATAAATTTGAAACCAATCAGTGTGAAGATCTGCTGAACTCCACTCATGAACAATATCCGGATTTTCAACACTAATTCAGTCAAGTTAGTCAGTGCTTCTGTGATGACTGAGAGATTCGGAGTGTTACGAAAAGTATTTCCAACCAACTGCAGACATGCATCACATCAACAGCTGCCGCCTACGCTCACTTCATACTGAAGATGGAGATTAGACGGCCAGAATAATGTGAATAAGCAATAAGGAACTCCGGGGACGAACCAACGAAGCAAGAACCCATCACCCAACAAATATGTAGTTGAAGAATGTTGAGATGGATGGGGCATACACTGAGAAGACCATTCGGGGACATCATGCGTCAGGCCGTCGAGTGGAAGCAAAATGGGGAACGACGAGTTGGGCGTCCGAGGTTGCGGTGACATAGAGGAGATGGTACGAGGAAGAAATGAAAGCCTATGGGCAGTCGTGGAGCCAGGTTCAAGATGAAGACGATGGTATTCTCTGAATTCTAGTCTATACTTGAGTTCAGAGAAATATCAAATAAGCCAACTACACACCTATAAATCCATCTCTACAATACAAACATATAATATACAACCAATTAATTATCTTAAGAGTTTACCACAAGATAGTAAGCAAAGAAAAACTTACATGTAAATCACGGAAATGTTCATTATAGTCTAGAGCGTAGCCAACAACAAATCGATTAGGCACTTCAAATCCAATGACTAAAAAGCCAAATCAAAACAAGAGAAAGAATAGTACAGTCAGAATAACTGAAAACTGACTGGGATATACGTTTAGCTATCCTACAGACAATCTATAAAATACAGTTAACAATGCTCTATATTTAATCGTCATAACGTTTTGCAGCCATGTCAAACAGTCATCTTCACAAGCTATATACTTCGCTATCAGTAAGAGTTTCCTCCGTGGGGTTTGAATCAATCCAAACTTTATTTATGATCGGCTAATTCCCCTCCCCCCCCCACCCCTTAGGTTTCAATGCTGATGTGATAAACTATAGTGACGGTCAATCACTTTCGCATATGCACCAACCAATCAGGGTCGAAATTAAAAGGACAAAAGGATAAATACTCAACGATGACATTAGGTGATGGTTGCTCTATAACGTGAAATGACAGAAGTTGGAAATACGGACCATTGGATTCCGCCAACCCAGTGGCTCAATGAAAACGTTCTGGTCACGGAACCTGAGGGACCTGGTTTCGATCCCTAGTGGGGTGGGGTCATAGATGCGCATCGCTGACGAATCCCACACTAGGACGAAGCAACTGCCCAGTGCTCTCAGGTTCCCAATGTTCCGCCAACTTATGTCAGTCCATGATGAATATCAAATTGAAATTGGATTATCATCTATGTAATCAATTATATAATTGTCTGCATTGCCACTCATCCATATGCGACTATATCATACCCCCCCTAATGGTCTTGTTAAAAGTCCTAGAAACGTTCTAAGACAACTCCATATATTCTTGACGGTGTTCGTATACACCTTAGTTGGCTGATCAGCAAAGTGCTTGATGGGGGTAACGCGTAACGGTTGTATATACCAAGAATCTGTAAATCACCAAGACATATGTACATAACTTACCCAATCCCGTTTTACTCATCTTCCTCATACATATATTTAAATCTCCGAACAAGACATTCATCTATTTCAACTAAACTATCTACTCCATAGAAAGTTATATCCAACCTGCAAAGTAATCATTAACATAATACGTCAGAATTTTATGTAACGTGAGAAACACAGTGATTGGACGTAGTGAGTGACCTTGAACAAAGGCTTTTCAACCTGATTGGTTATTCTCAAGGTCTCCGCATCACTAAAGTTTAGTTTTACCGCAAATCTTTATGGGCTCATTTTATCAGCATAAGTTTATTATGATGTGAGCATAAACCTGTGATACATTTTCACCTTCTATGTAATGAGTGTGATAGCATAGAAGTATGTAGCAGTAAAACCATTAGGCTACTTTCTCTTTACTAATGTAGTCACACTGCTTTCGAAATCTGACTTTTTATAGGCTAATCACCCCACATTCTTTGTTTTTATTGGTAGCAAAATCTTCCACATCTCTGGTATAGGTGTTGCGTCATTCCTGTTACACGTTTTGAATGTTGCATTCGATGAAAAAAAGACTCAGTAATCAATCTCTCCATTCCTCCAGCTAATTGTGTGTCAATGCAAGCATTGCAATAGACCAGTTTTTTTTCTACATTATTGGTCCTATTGGGGTTTGTCATTCTATATTCGACTAAATTAACCCCGATCGGTTAGTCTGACCCAATATACTTGATCTCATAGTCACTGCACAAAATTCGGTAGATCAGATCATTTTGCTCAATTTTATCCATCAGAACTATCGGAAAAATAGAAGGAATGGCAATAGGATCACCAATATTCACAACCTTAGCAGATAAACACAAGGATAGCTGGGAACATGTTTCATCCTTAACCCGAAGATACGGTGGTGATATGTGGATGACATGGCCACTGAAGGTGGAAGACATGAGAAGGCTTCAGGTGTTTGACCGCCTCCACCTTCATAGTATAGGCCTGTATATTCCGTGATGTCACCACATGAATAATGCAGAAGTCAGGTATAGAGTTCTAGGGAGAAAAGGTAAGTCAGTTGACACAGTTGTGAACCTTCATCGACTGAGATGGCTGGTTCCGACATGTGTTACATATGCCTAGTCGCCGTCTCCCTCGTCACACAATGTTGGCTGAAGTAGGTTCAGGCTAGAAAAAGGCTCATAGCACCAATGCATGAAGTCTCTGACTGTTGGTTTGAGCCATGTGAGGCAATGCAGACTAGTCGATTGGGGTCCGCGGGACAAGAGAAACCAATGGTTAGAGACTCTAGGTGATATGGCTCAGAGTTGATGTCAGTGGCACAGATGCATACACGCATATTATCCTTATTCTTCGTTTCTCTCTTTTAGTATTTTTTTTGTCCAAATTTTCCTTTCTTCATCTTGCACTTCACTGCCTTTTTATTTCATATGGTGGGTGATATGAGCTGTGGCAACTTGGACCGTTACACATACAGTAATGCCTGGTCCTTTGGATGGATGTGGATGATACATTTCGCTGTGCTGAAATCGGAATACGATATGGTTGTGAGCAGTAATAAATTATGCTCAAAACTCAATTAAATAATTCTATATCATACCACAGGCTGTATATTAAATAGACAAATCTATTATGAAATTACATTCTACCACATTACCCAAGTTTTACACTTATACAGTAGCTACTTTACCTATGGCTTAAATATAGACATCATAATACACAATATACTTATCAAGTTTAGAGATGCGTCACTAAGAAGCAGTGACAAATCATTGAGATAACCAACAAAGATTTATTATTCATAAATTCTAAGATATACAGAAGAAAATCCTGATAACCCTTGAAATAAGAAAGTAGACCAGAAGATTTGATTATGAGTACTTCTTTTGCTCCTAGAAATATGTATCGAAAGATTACTGAGACCTATTGGTGAAATTGGTGTGGCCACTCATAAACCAACAAATTCCTTGGAAACACTATTATGCAGACCAAAGGATGCAACAAGCAAAGAAGACAAACTGAATATCACTTACAAAATCAACTGGAATAACTGTAGTCAACACTACATTTGGACAAAGTGGCCACCCTCTTCGCCTTCGTCTACATCAGCACCAATTGGCTATTAAACATCATGACATTTCATCGCTCATTTCAATGGATATGAATTCAGTTTTGACAATACAGAAATCATAAACATAGACCCAATCTATCAACCAATGAGAAAAGTGATAGACAACAGGAAGGTCAGAGGTCGAGCAGAGGAACAGTCAACAGGAAAGTCTATGTAGTCAGTCAATGACAACAATCGAAGGATACAACAAATCACAGACGACATCTTCAGAGCAAGCCACTAAATCACTCACAGAGAGATATTGACAGGTCACAATTCATACTGAAGTTAGTGCTGATGATGTCGTCTAGCAAGACGATGAAAGCTTCACGATTAAACAACCCAGCTAGCTCAGAGAACACAATACAACCAAGACGGAAGTGTATACATTTAGTTTCCGAAAACTTTCGAGATATTAGTTTTCCCAAGTAATTAAACAGCATAATAAGCTACATCCAATACTGTTACATATATTTTACCTACTCATTCGACCTAGAAAATGATAAATTAATTTGATCATACTAAATACGTTCATGTGGAGCTGCGGCTGAGTGAGTCGCGGGTTCGAAACCTGAACCTGAGTGGGTTCCGTTCCATTGCCTTAAGACAGTACTAAAACAATAGATTTGCACAACTTTGGGAAAAACATAAATAGATAGCTTTATGAGTTCATCGGAGGATTATAACGTCGTCATCGTCAAGATCAACATGGTATCAGACATAACTGAGTAACGATCCAAGTTGCCGCAACTCATATCAGCATATCAAGTAACAAGAGAATAAAATGGAAGATGAAGAATGAAATAAAAGTCATCAAAGGAAGCAGAAGTAGAAAGTAGAAAGTAAAGGAAGGAAGAACGAGATGATGATATTAAGTGTAGCAGTTAAGATAAGGATAATGTGTGTCTACATCTGCGCCACTGACATCGGTTCTCAGCCACATCACCTGGAGTCTCCAACCACTGGTTTCTCTTGTCCTGTCGACCCCAACCGGCTAGTATGCATCGTCCTACATGGCTCAAATCAACAGTCGAAGATTTCATGCATTCACGTCATGTTTTAGTCTAACAGCTCCGACACGTTTTCCAGCCTGACCCTACTTCGGTAGACGGTGGCTAAGCGTACCCTAGCCGCCTCAACGGACTTACCTCTCCTGCCTAAAACTCTACACCTAACTTCGGTGTTACTCACTTGGTGACTCTAGAAAACACGGCCTTTGCTACGAAGCCAATGGCAGTCAAACACCTGAAGCCCTCTTATGTCTACTACATTTAATGATCATGTTTCACAGCCATAGAGTAGAAGTGATCGCGCTGTGGCACAGTACACTCGATCCATAATAGACAACAGAATATCATGAATTATAAATATTTTGAAGTTCTTGATACATTGAATAGTAGAAAACAGTTTCAATTCAACGTTTATGTCACCACATAGGCTATAGAAGAAAATAATCCATATATCGGTTTACAAGAAAACCAGGGATAATGTTAGAAGATAACCTTCATAAATAGTCACAATTACAGACTTACACTCTGGTCGATAACCGATACCATCTGGTGTACGTTTTACAAGTAAGCTGGAAAAAGAAAAGAATAAAAAAACGTATTAAATCTGTGAGGAGAAATAGATAATTTGTACAAAAAATAATCTGATGCCTATTCACTGTTGTCAGAGTTAGTTAGAGACAGTCGGTAAGAAGTCCTGGACCTAAGTTTTGTGCTTGTTGACTAGGTATATCTGCTACCTCGACAGAATTCATGTTTAATGTGAGGTTTGAGTCCGTGTCACTCAGCTTTACAGTCAGCAATGTCACAACTGAGCTAGTCAGATTATGAATGAACTTCTGTGAGACTGGATTGTGTACACTGATTGGTTACTAGAGACAGCAAGCTATTTCAGCATCCAGAACTAAAGACAACATGAAATGAATTGTTCTTCAGTAATCCAATTATTGTATCCAACTCAATTATACAGGAAAAGTAAATCGCAGCCCTGATTAGCTCAGTGGTAATGTCTCTAACTACAACACTAGATGATGTAAGTTCAAATCTCAGTCGGGGCATTGGTTCCGTAGAGGTTGTAGATACACCTTGCTGACAACAAGCAGGAAACTTAGGTCCACAGCTACATGTCGACTGCTTTCAAATAACTAACATCTATCAATGTGTACAGTGATGTTGAGAAAAGGAGGATACATTTCTGGCAATAAAATAAAGTTTTCTACAAATGGTAATGTCATGGTTTCTTTTTACTCAGGTTGACAGATACAATTACTTTCATCTTGGATTTTCTTTCTTGTTAACTTCCTTGTGGGTGCATCGATGTTAGGTATAGCAACTTTAATGGGCACTTAACAATACTAGGCATCTACTTCGTATATGTAAAACCTAAGTGAATCATCATGAATAGAAGTAGACTAGCATCTGGCCATCATCAATAATAAATTCATGGGATCCGTAAACTTCACGCCTATTAAGTCATTGTAAATGTTAGCAGGTAGAACACTTGGTGTAAATGTACCATCGCACTTTATAAAGGTTCATAAAAATCTCAAATTAAATGTATCAGTCACATATATGAATAATCCTCTAACTATTGTACCTTAACCGCATACAACAAGCCAAAAGAATGTGAACTTCTTCAGCCATAACAGCTAACGCGATTAGCTTACTCTAACTGACTGACTAACTCGATTGACAAAATCAATATAGAACCTCGCACATAGGATGCATCGGGTCAGATTATCACACTTCATGCCAGTAAACAAAGAACAGATAGATAGAATAAGAGGGATTTCAAACTAGACAAAGTTGCGTGAGAGAATAGAAAATTTAAAAAAAACGGCTGGTGTAAATATTGAAACTTTAGAAGACGTCTCAGAGTGAATACATTTGCGCTACTTTGACCGATTGATGTTCACTCATATCACCAAGAGTTCTCAGCTACTGACAGCTATCATTTCAGTGATCCCAACCAAGGAGTTTACGTGTGCCAACACAGCTCAGACCAATAATCAGGGACTTTGTGAAATCATGCCACTCATTGGTCTGGCCACCCTCAACCTCCGCCTTCCAGCCTAATCCAACTTCCCCTAGAATAGTAGGTTGAGGTAGGCAGTAGCTGGCTCGGCATGCGTAGTACATGTCTAAGCCATGTCAGTCGACTAAGGTTCACAACCTCAACAGTGGACTTGCTTATCTTGCCTAGTACCCTTTACCTGACCTCAACATTGCTCAAACATTGATTCCACCAAATGCAAACGATGCTACGAAGACAACCAGAAGACATCAGTTGGCGACACAGATTATTCAAGTTGGCAAAAGTCAAACGAACTTTCTATAACCGAAGAAATATGAGCGAGAAAGCAGTCAAAAGTGGTAGAAATTCACCAGAAGAGACTAAGGAGACACTAGACTTTACTGAAATTCAGAATAGCGACTAAAATATTAATAATATGTGGACAAATCTGCTCTATTGTGGTTGATTCTGAGCCATATCATAGATAGTTTCCAACTACCTACTTCTGTTGTCACGTAGAATGCAAACAAGGCTGATCCAATTTTGCAGGCATGAGAAGTAGTCAGAGCGCTCAACCACTTCACTAGCCATTGCTGGGAAAGGCGCAAGCACAGATTAGTTCCAGAGCAGAAATATGTATCTGGGTAGGGAGAAACGCATTCCAGAAGACTCTGACTGACTGATAGACTGAAAGAATCAGTGTATAACCTTGCACAACAGTGCAGTGGCTCAACTTGCCACACTTTACAGAAGTATTACAAAGAACAGGTGGATAAAAAGGTAACTCTTCATTTCGTCAAGGTCTTTACTTAACAGAACTATGGTGTCTGCGTGCTGTAGATCTACCGAGGATTCTCCTGGGATGAGATCAATATCTGTAAGATCAGATAATGAGAAGAAAACCTCTGCAACAACGTCTGTGATAAAACTGAATAAGAATAGAGGGAGTGAACACCTTTGAACAGAACTACCCCACATGCACAACTCAACTTATAATTGAAAATAGGATCTAACATGACCACGGGTACTCTTCTCAGCAACAGACACTGCCATAAGACCTCTTTTGATCGACGAAGTTGAATGTTACCTTCATATTTAGAAATACTGATTGTTTCTGGCATTGCTAAGTGTGCCTGTGTTTCAAAACCTGGCGGAGGGTGAACATCTGGTCGATACACCCACGTCTAGGTCTAAAACATGCTCGAACTTATTGGGTCCGCTGTTTTCTAGTTCCAGTTAGACTTCTAACTATTACAGAACCAAGACTTCTACACACTAATAGCCATACAGATTGCCGTGATTATCATAGGGAGTCCTTTTTTCTTTCGTAAAGACAGGAACAATCAACGACTGAGATCAGTCAGAGGTCGTATTTGATTTCCATATGCCAGATGACACCAGTTAATCTGACCTACAATTCATGACCGCCACTCTTCAATACTATCTCACCTGTCCCTGCTACCCTTCCTTGTCATAGATTTCCCAAAGTCTTCTCAATTTCAGCAACTGTTAGGCACCCTATCTCAACGTTCCATTCAGGATCCAACTGGATAGCGGGCAGATAGTTGATCATTTGAGAGAAATCTTTTTGTAACAACAACAGTGGAACCAGTTCAATTCATTCAACGCCTTAATAAACTTTGAGAGAAACAAAGCCAAAAAACCTAAACATGCTTCGGATGGGCGTGCAATGATCGAATCTCAACATCTTGACAAGTTCCGGAATGCGGGCATACTCACCGGTACCCGACAAAAGTAATTGTTAATCTAAAGGCAACATTTGCTTTTCTTGATTGACGCATTGTGGCAGTATTTGACTGCGAAGTAGGAAGAAAACGTTACGTTGGTCAAGGCTCTCTATTAACAGTCATGCAGCCCTTTTTTAACCTGAGGTGACCACAATCAGCAGTATTCTAGAGGTGTCCAATCTCACCGTTATTTTGTAGTTTTGTGACAGATGTAATGACAGACGTAAGTATGCTTATCTATAACTTCTTAGGGGATGATATGGCAAACAGGGAGTATCTGTTTAACTTTGGATACAGACACAGTTTTCTTAGATCATGCTGTTAAAAAATGTGGCCTTCTGAGTACTTTCAACAGAAGTCTAAGTGTTTGACCTTTACTTCACACCTGTCAAATGTAAGATGATGCTACAAGGTTGGTCTGTATCTACTTTTAATTTAAATGTCTGAAATCAGTTAGGATGCATTGATCGTATCACATATTTGAGAGGTAGCATTAACATGAATGGGCTAGTTAGTGCCAATATCTGACAAAAGGTCATTTTGGCAAATACTAACCTGCATCATCATTGAACCCGATCATATATCCGGTTATCGACCAACGAACAAGTGTACCGCACACCGATGCTCTGCACCATACTGAGAAACGGCGACAGCCGCTGAATGTAGAAGGCACGAGGTTACAGATTTTTGAACATACCTTTGTAGCTGTTTATACGTGTGGTAGAACTATCATATGAGAAATGAGGTCAGATGTAGGCTATCAGGCAGGAAAAATAAGTCAGCTAGTGAAGTTGCGAACCTGAGTCTGCTGAAGTGGGCTGGAAATGTGTTCAGTATGCCGAGTTACCACATACTTCAATACTATTATTCAAAGTGCGATCAGCTTAGAAAACAGTTAAATTTGGTCAGATTAAAATATGGTACCAATCCATGAGGTTTTCGATTGTTGATATAAGGCATTTGAGGATATGTAGGATGTCCGGGTGTGGTCTTCGATGTGTCGATAATAAATTATTACAGATAATGATATGGAGCAAAATATGCGAGTGTCATGTGCATTCACCCTTAGGCATTTCTGAAATTTAGGATGATTTCATCAACGTTTATTTACTTATACTTACACTTACACTTTTCCATGATACTCAAACAGTCCTATTTTCTTTCTCTTTCTCTTTTTGTTATGCAGTGTGGTGATTTTCACCGACTCTTCTGAAAAACTCACAATTACCTATTTCCCGAATTTCTTGGCGATCATGTTGTACCGAATTTTGTTAAAATGAATAAATAAGTCCCGGCTATCTAAATATCTGGTTGTCAGTTTAATACTGAAAGTAACCTCTCTACAGTGGCTCTTGTAGCTGGGTAGCAAGAAATCACCAATGGTTAATGGACATATAAGCCATAATTCCTTACAGTTGCATTAGCTTGTTACCAGCTAAAACGTAGCTTCACTGTTCATAAAACTATATTGGTTTTCTACGGAACTATTATAGATTTCTTTCAGAATGGCCTTAAAGAAAATATATACCCACAAATTCATTTACCTACCGAGGTGGCTATTTACCAAAACCAATCCTATTTGATCACTAAAACCCAAAGATTTCCCTGGGATATATATATAAGCCACTAGTGCGTCACTAGAAATCAACATCACCACGAACGTAATGAATCAAGTCGAATGCAAAGACTAACTGATCACCTAACATGCCATCTTGATTTGAAAATAGTTTTCTGATAGTAAAAATTCATATGCCAAGATATGTTTGGTGTCTGTCTTGAAACTTACTTGTATCATCTATAGGTTGATTCTTAAAACTATCTTGTGAACTCTTCCCATAGGGGAAAATAAACAGTAATATAGAAGTAAAACTTGAGCACTGTGGTAGTGCTGTAGTTCCATTCCAGTCTGTTTGTTAGAAATGTCACACAGTGAAAAACAGTATCATCTACTGAATAACGTTTTAGACACAACTTATGGTCTATATTCATATCACGTAACTCCACAACTTTCAGACAGAGGTTTTATAGTCAAAATTCTCTCTCCTTCTCTGTGATGACAAGGGTAATAGAATTTTCTATATATCTGGAACAGGTGCAGAATCATTCCTATGACTGAGTTTATTTGGTGTTGGTTCGATAGACAAAGATTCACCTATCAATCTCTCCCTCGACCTAACCAACTTAGTTTTTAACAGTGTCGCTCTATCCCACCCTACCGTGTGATTGTGTGTAGCTGCATGCAGAGCTATAGCCGAGCTTTTCTCTAAATTTCTTATCTTATTGAGATCTACTGATTTTGATTTAGCTAAGCTTTCTGCTCCGTTAACAATGGTAGTATTAGTAAGACATGTTGTGAATAGTAATTCTACTACTAACAGTAATAACGGTGACCGGGCCGAGAAAATCCAAAGCCTTTGGTATGTTACCATAGAAAGAAGGTACCTCAGAGGCATTACGAAGAATTTTCAATAAGGCTGCTGGGATTAAACTGGCACTTAAACCAACAAACTGGCTAACAGAAACAAGCCTTGTAAGTTAAAAGATCCTATTGATGTAATTAAGCGAAATAATTTACTTTACCAAATCGCTTACAATGACTGCGAGGCTGAATACACAAGTCGAAGTAGTCGACTAGGGTCGATTAGAATAACAGCACAAAAACTTAGCTAAATGACAATCAGTAGATCCTAATAAGATAAGAAATTTATAAGAAAGCTGCGGTATAGCTCTGAACGCAATTACACACCATCACAAAGTAGGGTGGGATACAGAGACACTATTAAAAGCTACCTGAGTTGGGTAGTGAGATCGATAACCGAGTGAATTTTGTTTATTGAATCAACACCAAATACACGCAGTAATAGATGATTCTGCACCTGCTCTAGATATATGGAAAATTTACTACCCTTGTCATCACAGAGAAGAGGGAATTAGGACTATATAAACTGTATCCAAGTTGTGGAGTCACCTGATAGGACTGTGGACAATAAAATGTGTCCACAACGTTATCCAGTAAATGACACCGTTTCTCCACTGTGTGATATTTCTAATAAACAGACTAAAATTGAAATAAAACATGTAGAAACCATCTTGGCAATCAAAAGTATTCCAAAAGAACTACTACTTCGAAGGTCTTGCTTCTTTGAATAATCAGGTGATCTTGAAGATAAACTACTCAACACTGTTGATATTCGTTTTATTTCATTGTCCATTCATTGCTACATCAATTTGCGACAACCAGAAATCTACATGTTAAATAATGCCAGGACATTTCAATTTTTAGACTCTAAAATCCATTTTGACTATTGTGCAGATAAGTAGAAATAACTTACTATATTTGAACCGCACAACTGGCAGACTTCATAACATGCTTTGAACAACAAGATCAGTCAGAAATTAGCAACAATACTAAAACGACTAGCATGGTCCCAGTTCATGGTAGAGCTTTTTCTATCACATGGAAGCAAAAGGCAACACAAATAACCCAACATGTAGAATGAAATGTACGGGATCATTGGGTTACTAACACTAAAAAGCGGATAAACGAGTACAGATTTAGTGCTTTACAAGAGATAGACAATTGAGGGGAGAATCTCAACAGATGCTTCGCTGGAGATGTTGAGAGAACACTCTAAGTACTGAAGGATATTTAAATAAAAATTTAAGGCTCCATTAAGAACCTAAACACAATATACTGAAAACCCAAGACAAGTCTCCACTGAACATACCTGGCAACTTTGACACTTCTCGTAGACAAACTTTTCAAGTAATTCAAAAGCTTGGTAATAGTTTTGCCAGTATCAACGATATCTTCAACTATAAGGATATCCTAAGCAAATACTATGGCTGAAGTGAGATATTACTTTATTTCTATACTCCGTAGGATCCTCCATACCGGATAGTAATGGTTCATGTGTGCTGGCATCATTCTAACAAATTTAGAAATATGTGAGCACAAATTTTTGACACATACAACGTAACTTTTAACACGAACGAATTCAACTGACATGGGCATAACAGTCCCTCTCGCACGGACAGTGCGTTCTAATCCATCTACAAGATCTGCAAGAAATTTGAATCCGCCCTTGAGAACACACATTAATGTGATCGACTTTGCGTTGGAAGCCTCATAAGCATTAACAATATCTAATGACATTTTCTCCAACCTTCGAAATACTCAATTTTCAGGCGTAACTTACCTGTCTTTAATCATACCATTTGGTATGAGAACGTAGTCTAAGTAACCATCATAACGAGGGGAGGTACAAAAGTGTTCAACAGGATAACCCCCAAAGTCATCATCCAACTAAAGAAGTTAACGAACTACAGAACACTCACCACAATACAGTCGCTAGACTTCATCTCGGACATGTGCAAAAATGGCAGGTTGAATGGTCGCCAATACCAAGGACGAAAGAGTTCATACTATTTCATTTGAATAGCTTAAACAGCATTGCATAGGCCCTTGGCAAAGAATAACTTCATAGTATGTCGTCCTGAAATCTAACTGAAGTGTATCGATCGCTTCATATTGCTATCATAACCTAGCACTCTGACTGATATTAGTTGTTAGAAGGCGATCGGCAGGAAGCCTTAACGATTGCTTCAACCAATTAACACAGTTTAAAAAGATCGAATTTTAACTAGTTTGAGTTTTAGCGCTCCATGTGAGAAAGGAAGTTAGGCACCATTCTATAGATTCCTAATACCTACTGCCTTCTAGCAAGTATGGAAAACAGATAGTTTTTAAGCTCCGGTGACCAGGCATTGTGGCCAGGTTCTTTCTATTCAGATGTAATAATTCAGTTGTTTTAGAACTTTTCACGCTGTCCATGGTTTGGATTTTGGGTCTTTGCTTTTCTGCAGGTTAGTTTTCACGGTAATAAGCCGGCTGGGTAAGTTAATAACCGTAAAGCTTCTGGCGGGATTGATGAACTTTCAAAGGTTCATTTTTAAATAGCGGCCACGAATTTCAGTGGCAATAACTGTCAGCGGGAAGTAGAGACTTAGAAAAAGGCAGTATGGCGCATTTATTAAATGATATAATGGGTCAGCAAGGAGAGAGACATTTCGTGTGTAATGAGGGAAAAGCATCCCAGCTAACGTGTTCAGCTAACAATCTTTTGGATGACTTCAGATTCCAGCTTTGGGTTCGTTGCTCGAAAACAAAAGGCTGAGTCCATATTAATCCTTTTCCTGCAGATCTATGTCCTTGGCCACTCCTCTCGAACAAGCCGATTGATGATGTGAACACCACTTCTTCTGGGAGTCGGCTCTAGGTGATGATTACTCGACGCGACAGCAGGTGCTCTGCAGAGACTGTGTCCCTCCCTTTCATTTGTATCCTCTTACTATGTCCTCTGGTATAACCCAACCTAGTGGGAAAGGGGAAGAAAGATGGTCCAGGTGTAAAGTCATTTCCTAGAATCCTATATACTATGATTAGATCTCCCCTCTCTCGGTGATAGGATGAAGGGAAGGCGTTCGCCTCTTTAAGTCGGTCATCATACATAGCCCCAGCCATCACAGGGATCGTGTAACTGGTTGCCTTCCTGACTCTTTCCAGAGGGTATGAGTCCTCTTTCAGACAACAATTTGAGACCTGCGTATAGTTTTTCAGTTTGGACTTAGCTAAGGATGTGTATAAGATGGTGAACGTATCACTACATATTTTTGCAAACGTTCTGAATAATGCTCAAAGTGTACTAAAACTGAAAGCGATAGCCAATCGACAGTGTGCTCCGGCCTTCAAATCGTAACTCACCGTAGGTTTTGGGTCATTATGCCGAGGCTGAGGCTGAAGAAGTCCCACCAATATAGTTATTATCAGCATCTGTGTGTCCCCTTTACATGCTGACAAATCAACCTACGTTCACAGTTATCAACTTCGCCTAGTTAGCCAATTCACTGGTTACAAGACGGTCCTGGGCCAGGTCAAAAAGGGAAGGGCTAGCAACCCTCTCCCTAAAACCAATTCAGTCGCCAAGGAAACGTCAAGGGGCGAAGAGAATTTAAAAAAACATAAATAAACCTATTCATCACTGGGAACCAATCTCCTCCAGGATCATGACAGCAAGATTCAACTCAAAAGGAAGAAAGGTCACAATCATACAATGTTATGCACCTACAAATAATGCAGAGCAAGAGAAAAAGGAGGATTTCTACAGACAACTTCAATCAGCACTGGACAAGACGTCAGTTGGCGATATCAAAATTCTGATGGGCGACATGAATGCCAAACTGGGAGGAGACAACACGGGAAGAGAACTAACCATGGGTCGAGAAGCGCTAGGTGAAATGAATGAGAATGGAGAATTGTTTGCAGAATTCTGTGGATTCAACGATTTGGTGATTGGAGGCAGTGTGTTCAGGCACAAAGATATCCACAAAGCGACATGGATTTCACCAGATGGACACACTAAAAATCAAATCGACTTTATCTCAATCTCAAGAAAATGGAGACACAGTCTACTGAACACAAGGTCAAGAAGAGTAGCAGATGTAGGTTCAGACCACTATCTAGTGCAAGGAACCTTCCAAATCAAGTTAAAAGCCTTCAAGGAAGCTGGTGATAGACCTCAATCCAAGTACAACACTCGGAAACTGAAGGATGAAACTACAAAGGAGATCTTCAAGGCAGCCATCAAGACAAAATGGGAGATATCGAGGAACATCCCTGAAGAAACCTGTGTGGAAGAACACTGGAAGTCTTTGAAAGAGATGTGGAAAGAAACCTGCACAGCAGTATTAGGAAGGAAGAAGAAAGAAGACAAGGAATGGATCTCGACGGGTATCTGGAAGCTGATAGAGGAGAGGAGGATGGTGAAACAGAAGATAAACCAGTGCAAGGATGCTCAACGACAAGAGGAACTGAGTACAATGTATAAAACACTGGACAAAGAAGTGAAGAAGAGTGCACGCAAAGACAAAAGACACTTCTACGAAACACTGGCAAGTGAAGCAGAACAGGCTGAAGGTAAGAGAGACCTGACGACATTGTATCAAATAACCAGGTTGCTATCAGGGAAGAGACCAACACAGATGAAACCAATAAAAGATGAAGAAGGAAATTTAATTACAAAAGAAGAGAAACAGAGGAAACGATGGGCCGACCACTTCAAGAAGCTGTTGAATCGACCACCACCTGCACTTCGTCCAGAAATACCACCTGCAGCCGCTGAACTACAAGTGAACATTAATCCCCCAACGAAAATGGAAGTCCTGAACGCCATAAAGCTACTGAAATGCGGGAAAGCAGCAGGACCAGATGGGATACCGCCAGAAGCACTGAGAACAGATGCAGAGACAACAGCGGACATGCTCACACCACTATTGCAGAAGGTGTGGAAGGAAGAGAAGGTACCTGACGATTGGAAGAAGGGTTACCTTGTCAAACTGCTGAAGAAGGGAGACCTCAGTGCTTGCAAGAACTGGCGCGGAATCACTCTCCTGTCCACCCCAAGTAAAATATTAAGCCGCATCATCCTAGAGAGGCTTAAAGATGCACTGGATTCAAAACTACGACCGGAACAGGCAGGCTTCAGGAAGTACAAATCATGTGCAGACCAAATTGCAACGCTTCGCATCATCATAGAATAGAGCATAGAATGGCAATCAGCTCTCTACCTCAACTTCATCGACTTTGAAATAACCTTTGACAGCGTCGACCGAGAAGTAATTTGGAAACTGCTTCACTACTACGGAGTACCGCAAACCTTTATCCGCCTCATCCAACAACTATATGAAGCTGCCACATGCCAAGTAATCCACAATGGGAAGCTCAGTGATGCCTTTGAAGTGAAGACAGGAGTGAAACAAGGTTGCCTACTATCCCCCATGATATTCCTTATTGTGGTGGACTGGATCATGCAGCAAACAGTAGGCAGCGAGAAGAGGGGGATACACTGGACGACGGAAAAGAACCTAGAAGACTTGGATTTCGCCGATGACTTGTGCCTAATGTCACATAAACTTGAAGATCTGCAGGCAAAAACTAACAAGTTGATAGAAGAAGCAGCTAAGACGGGACTTCAGGTGAATATAGAGAAGACAGAAGTGATGAAGATACCGCACCACCACCATCAACAACAACAACAAACTCCAATCACCGTTAACGGGAGAAACTTGAAGGAAGTAACCTCCTTCACTTATCTAGGAAGCACTGTTTCAACTACAGGCGGGACGGACGAGGACGTCAAAGTCAGAATCGGGAAAGCAAGACAGGCGTTCATTAGCCTGAAACCAGTGTGGAGATCTTCTGCACTCAGCATGCGGAACAAGATACGGATTTTCAACACCAACGTCAAGTCAGTGCTCCTGTATGGCTCAGAGACTTGGCGCGTCACAAAAGGCATTTCCAATAAACTACAGACATTCATCAACAACTGCTTACGCTCGCTGCTGAAGATCAGATGGCCAGAATAAAGAATAAGCAACAAGGAACTCTGGGAACGAACCAACCAAGAACCTATCACCCAACAAATATGCAGGAGGAAGTGGAGATGGATTGGACATGCACTGAGAAGGCCGACTGAGGACATCACGCGTCAGGCCAGTTGCTCGAGTGGAATCCCCATGGGAAGCGACGAGTTGGACGTCCCAGCTGAGGGTGACATGGAGGAGGTCGTGCGAGGAGGAAATGAGAGGTTGTGGGCTGTCGTGGGACCAGGTTCAAAAGATCTCAGAGAACAGAGGTCACTGGAGGCGTGCTACTGAAGCCCTATGTTCCACTAGGAACCCAAGGGACTAATAAATAATAATAATAATAAATTCATTGCTGGAATCGGATTGGAGAGACGAAATGATGCCTGTCGTTGAGAGCCTTCGGGAAACCAGTTGGTCGATGTGTCTCCTCCTCTCTCGATGAAAGCGAAAGTCGGAGTGGGAACGTGGAATGTCCGAACAATGTATGAAGTTTGCTGGCAACGCCGCCCAATTTGCAAAAGAGAAGAGAAGATATGGCATGGAAGTGCTAGGAATCTGCGAGGAATCAGCAGATGGAATGGAAGTGAACTCTCCAAACCGTCAACTGGAGAGTCGATAATCTACTCCGATATTGTCACCCAGACGAGAACCACCAGCACACTGAAGTTGGAAGTGGCTATCATGATGTCCCCTTGAAGAGCATCAAAGGCTGGCTCTTATATGGTGGGAACCAATCTCCTCCAGGACCAAGAGCATGACAGGAGGACTCAAATCAAGAGGAAGGGAGGTGATAATCACACAACGGTACGCTAAGCACCTACAAATGATGCAGATCAAGGACAAAAAACAATCATGGGTAGAGAGGCACTCGTTTATGAAATCAAGGAAAATGGAGAACTGTCTGCGGACTTCTGGGCATTCGACAGTTTGGTGACTGGAGGCAGTTTGTACAAATACAAGGGTATTCACAAGGCAGCGACGTGGATTTGATTTCACCAGATGAACATACCGTACCAAAAATCAG